CTGGGATTACAGGCTCGCACCACCCCACCTGGCTAATTTTTGTATTTTCTTAGTAGAGACAAGGTTTCACCATGTTGGTCAGGCTGGTTTCAAATTCCTGACCTCGTGATCTACCCGCCTCGGCCTCCCAAAGTCCTGGGATTACAGGCATGAGCCACCGTGCCTGGCCCCTTTTTCTCCTTCTTTTTCCACACTTCCTCCTTACCCTATTTCCTCTTTCCCTTCCCTGGGTTTGGTTGCAGTGGCATATGCACCAAGGTCAGTACTCTTTGTGGCCCCATGAAGTAGAGAAGTCTTGGAGTAGGGGTGAGGCAGCCATCAGAGGAAGGAAACTGCTGGTGGGGACAGTATCTTGGCCACTCCATCTCAAGTCTGTAGCCACGGTGGCTACAGAGATGCAGTGGGCCAGTGACAAGAGGCTCAGGAGCTGGGAGGCCTATATTGTAGGCAAGTTTGGCTACTGTGTGATGTGGGGCCAGGGTGACAGACGGTGGGCAGAACATGCTATGAAGATAAGGATCATTTAAACAGGAAGGGAGTAGGATAAATCACCATGTGGAGGGACAAGTGAGGACATGTGCATGTCCTGCCCCTGGTCCTGTTGCTGATACCACTATGACTACTCCCATTCATAAGGGTGGCTCCTCCCCATGGAGCATCTCTTATGAGTCAGACTTTTGTAGGAGGGAGCAAACAAGCAGAGGATAGCTGAGTGTGCTGGCTAAGACTATAAATTCTAGAGCCAGACTGCTTGGATTTGAATCCTGGCTCTGTCACCGAATGAGGGTATACCCTTGAGTAAGTTATGTAACTTTTCCATACCTTAAAGTCCCATCTCTGAAATGCAGATAGTGGAACAATATAGTTCTTATGAGGATTTGTTTAAATTGACAGTTTACAAAGTGATTTTCATAGTCCATGGCATAAAAGAAGTTCCGAGTGTCTGTTATATTTTTTTAAATTTAAAAATCATACAACAATCTTGTAACAGAAGACATATTTTCATTTTACTGATGCCAACACGGAGGTAGAGGGTAAGGGCCTTGGCCAAGGCCACATGGCTATTGAGAAGCAGAGTCAAATCTAGAATACAGCTTTGACAGACTCCAAAGTCTTAGCTTGTAACTTCAATGCTTAACTGCCTCCCTGGACATTCAGGTGGAGACTTTGCTTTCAAGAAAGGTTGGGTGGCACGGAGAGGCAGGTGAGCGCTGTGAGTCAAGGTGGGTGGCCAGCAATTGGAGTCTGTGAGGACACACCTGGGACTAGTGACTGCCTGCCCTTGGCCCAGCTCCTTGCTGGGGGAGAGCAACCTGACTTCCCAGGCCCATTTCAGGAAGAGGTCAAGCCCCTTAGGTACGTGAAGGTGCTGATTTCAGCCAGAGAGCTGTGCCTTCTTGGGACTTTTTCTTCCTTCTCTGTTTTCCGGGTAACCTCAGTGAAATTATTAACCCTTTTGTACCTCAGCTTTCTCATCTGTCAATTGAGTATAATATTTTACCTGCCTGCTTCCTGGGGATTTTGAGACATTGAGTAGACTGTGGATGTTAAATCATTTGAAAAGCATAAAGCAGTACCTAAATTTAAGATAGCAGAGTGATCTCAGACCACAGTACTGTGAAGGTCCAGTGTAGACCTTTCAGGCCTCCATAGCTACTTTGTACTGATAATGCCCAGAGTCTAATTTCATGACCTTTCCAGCTGGAGTCTATAGTGATACTTGGAATCTTACCTCCTTTTCTCAGTTTTTACATTTCCCTCAGTGAGTGTAAGTTAATAGTTGAGCAGCATGTGGGTTCCTGGGAAATTATTTTCCATTTGGATTTTTATTTTAAAGACCCAGAGCCAATGTCTGTGTCCAGGCTCCACAGTTGTCCCAGCTCCCATTTTGGGAGCTCTGCCATCTTTTTGGTTTCAGCCCTTGGCACAAGGCAGACCTGGGCTCCTGGGCGTGGGGAGCCTGTAGCTGCCTCCTCTCTTTAGCACACAGTCTTCGTTATGTGCTTGCTCTCTGGGGAAGAGGGAGGCAGCTGACCCTTTCCCCTGGTGCCCTTGTCTGTCCTGGCGTCCTTTAGGGTATGTGTATGTGTGTGTGTGTTAGGGATTACGTACGCCCTAGAGATGAGGCCTCTTGCCAGCTGCCAAAGTTCTTTTTTCCCCAGAATTGAGTTAGCCACCGAACCATTTCCATTCTCTGCCTGCTGCAGAACTCTACGGCAGGGCCCCTATGGCAAGTCAAAACATGCTCTGCTTTGATAATACAGAGATTCCATTTTGAGAGGGTTGGGAAACAGGAGTGGGTGACTGGGTGTGTTGGATGTAGGGGGAGTGAGAATATTCTTTTTGGTAAGCTGTGCCACAGTTGGCCCAGCAGCTTGGTCTAAACTCAAAAGTACGGCTAATGCTGGGCTGATACTCAAATATCCAATGGGGAAACTTTATTCTTGGATCTAGGCCTATGAGACCTAGCAATCTTTTTTTTGTTCATCTGGAATATGGGGATAATTCTACTCCATATGTTCTTCATGCCAAATGAGAAATAAACTTAAAATAGTCCACCATCTAGTCTGCAGGAGCAGGAAGTGACATAAGGTTGTAATTCTTAAAGTATATTTTTCAGAAAACAAACTGTTACTTAAAAAAAAGAGTCACTCGCTAAGTAAGTTTGGGAAATACTGGGGATAAACAATGGCAAGTAGGTTTCTTGTCTGTAGGGACCACTTAGGTCCTTCATATTCCAATAATACACATGAGAAACCACCAAAGGGATATATTATATGCCACATCTCCTAAATTTTTAACCAAACTTTCTTACTGGAACATTTATAAGTACGTTCTCTACAAAAGACACTTAAGAAGATCCTAAGTAGATCAGAAGAATATTCATTTTGTTCTTTTTTTTTTTTCCTGCAATTGTAAAGAAAAGTGATTGGGGAAATGCATGGGATTACTAAATTGTGGGTCCTGAACAGCAAGGGAGGTCAACTTTGGACTCTATTGAAATGAGTGCTTCCTGATCTGAAACACTTCTCTCCCTCCTCTCCTCACAGCTCCCCTTTGAATTGGAGATTTACTACATTCAGCATGTTATGCTCTACGTGGTACCCATCTACCTGCTTTGGAAAGGAGGTAAGGCCAGCAAACCACATTCCTATGCAACCCCCATACCTAGCCTCTCCCTTCTGTTTTCGGGAGTCACAGCCTCTTGGATGCCTACTGGGATCATCAGCTACTGCTTAGCTGTTTCTTCAGCATGTTTTATGCCAGGCACCAGGAAGTGGGGAGATGGGAATGCATGAGGCCTGCAAGGGATCTGGGGACTTTTTAGATCCATCCTTCACTGGGTGACTATGGTGCTGCTGACTGCCTGTCACAGGCCTGTGCTTTGGGTTCTTGATGGTGGCATTGGGTTTGCATGGAGTCCCCCACACTCTGTCACCCTCTTGTGCTGTGCCTTCTCCCTGCCTCAATGTGCAGTGGTGGGGTAGAAGGAGAGAGTAAAACACTTGGTCCACTCAAGAACAAAAGAGATATTGTAAGGGGCAAGAAGTCCAGGGACTAGGGTAATTATGGGATTTGGAGGAGAGGCAGATGAAAGATCAGTGTCAGCCATGTAAAATAAACCACTGGAAACCTTGATTTGATGTTGGAGTCTCTACCTGTGGGGGTCTGTCCTGTAGACCTTGACTCAATGACGGATGAATAAATTCACTCAGACACAGAATACAGTGAATTAGCAGGCTGGGGTGTACGTGGTCACTCACAGATACTTGAGGAGACTGCTATAAAGAGATAACAGCCACCGGCCATGACATGCTGGCCTCTCTGGCTTTTATTCAGCACACATTAAATGACAAAGGCTTTAAATCAACACCATTAGAGGGTGAAGATTAAATGCCAGGTTCTGAGGCCTAAAGTAAACACCATTAGTTGGTAATATCCCTGGTCAACCTCCCCTTGAGAGAGCTATCTGGAATGAGTAAGGGTTACTTTATAGGACCACATGAGTAAACGAATTAGTTAGGTAATCTCCTCACACTCTTTTGTTTCTACTTTAATTTATTTAACTAAGGGGACAAAGCTGCCTTTAGCCAACTACTGTAGTAAAAACCCTTAGGCCTTCCAAAAGGGTTTGTGTATATTCTCTATAACTAAAATTTCTCCTACCAGCCTGACTGAATTGCCACAATTTGGTGAAGAGGGTGAGACCACCAACCTGGTAGAGGCAGCCTGGAAAGGAAGCTGATGTATGTGCGACCTCTCAGTGACCCTTAGATTATCCCATCCCTCTGTTGTATAACAGACAAATGGAAAGGGAAGTGCCTGTCCATATAGGCTTGTTGTGAGAGCCCTCCTTCTCAGTGTTCTTTACTTCCTGAAAGGCCTTGTGACTGGAAGACATCCTCTTTCATTGTTAGCCACCAGTGTCTCTGTCTCAGTTGCTGAGACTTTTCTGTTCCTACTTTCCTACATGCAGCAAGGGTTTCATTTCTACCATACTAAAAGTGGCATGAGGCCACATGGGCCCTTGAGCTCACTGGAAGATGGTCTGGGACTTCTGTTGGGTTCTGTTGCTTCTTGTCTTATGAGTGGATGCTCTAACTTAGGCATTCCATCAGATATTAAGATCTGGTGTGGGATAGCCCCAAGGCCTAGTCAACCCAGGAACATATTGCAGGATGGAGTCTACTTATAGTCCAGAGATTTGCCTCCTGTCAGTTTTCCATACTTGCCTAAATATTCTTTGAGACTGCGTTTACCCTGTGTGGCCACTTGGGGTCTCACAATGTCCAAGCACACTTCCTTTTAATTTGCTGTAAAAGCACTATTTTCCCGACAAAGCTTTAAGGAAAGTCTGAAGTTCCAGTATCCAGGAGACTTGTGCATTTGTTAGGTCTGTCCCCTGTGGCAGCAGAAACAGTCTCTTAATAATGTTAAGTCTTGGAGATACGTGCATTCTGAATAGAACCAGGCAGATAGGTGTCCCTGGGCCTCAGACCCCTGCTACTCATCATTCCTGGCTTCTGGGGTGTGTGATGGAAGTCATAGCCAAATCTGCATGGCTGTTATTTAAATATATTTGTACTCTAAGGTCACCATAAAAATCTGTCAGGTAGCTGGGTTAGACTGGTCTGACATGGAAAATACCAACTAGCCATCTTTCCTCCCTCCAAAAGAATAATCCAGGAAGCCACATCCTTAAGACTTGGCTAACTCTAAGATAATTATATCTTCTTAGGGCAGATCTTCCCGATAGCCCAGTTCCCTAAGTGGCGAGGTGAGAGATAGTTAGGGCTGTAATGAGAGACAGTATGCTCTGTTCTTGCTAATAATCCATAATAATCCTGGCTCAGTGAGGGTTTAGCTTGCAGCACAAGTGGAGTGATCTCACCAAACTGACTTTTGACTCCAGGACCTGGATGAGAGCATCTACCACCCCACAGAAGTTAATGGGCCCTAGTACCTTCTATCTGGCCAACTTTGAGATATTTTGAGGGCTCATCTCCCTTTCCAGCTCTTTGCTGCCATCTGCTGTTCACTTGGAGGGAATTATGAGCATTGAGAGAAACATCTGATTTCTTCCTAAGGCTGATTTCACCTTTGGTCCCAAGCATCAGACCTAGGCCTTGCAGAGGCAGAAAGGAGCTGGAGTGTGCTATGGGAAGATTACTTTACTGTAAACCAAGAAAGCTGAGAGTTGAGGATTCTGTTCCATAGAAGTCTCTTGTAGTTTTGTAGAAATAAATGGCTTACCATTTTTTACCTAATACAAGACAGCTCTCCTGTAGATATCTCCAATGCCCAGGAACCCTGTTTTCCTGAAAGGCAGGATCCTGCTTGAGCATACAGTGCGTCTTCCTGTGGTTTTGGGTGGGTGGGTAGGTGGCGCCTTATGGTAACCTCACTTCTCCCTTATTCTTGCAGACCTATACACTGTCACAGCACATGGACCTGTCTCACCCGTACCACTCTTTTCTTCCTTTGGCCCGTTCCTTCATTTCCCTGTTTCCTTTCCTTCCAACTTTTACCCGTGACCCCCTGGAGCTGTATTTCCTTTTTTCTTTTTTGTGTTACAGTATTTTTAAATTTAATTTTTATTAGACACTGACAAATTATACATGTATATATATAAGATGATGCTATGCTATATGTATACAATGCAGAATGATTGAATCAAGCTAATTAACAAACTATATTTCTTACAAACCACCCCCAACCACACTGACAGCTCTTCATGGAGCACAGAGCCCTTCCTGTCTCTTGCCTGTGGCTTCCTCTAATGGAGACTGTTCTTTCTGCTCTGCCCCATATGCTCCAGAGCCCCCTCTGTCTCTTCTAGACTCATCTCTACGTTAGGGGAAATGGCTTTTTCTTTTACCATTCTCTTTTTTTCATCACCACCATCACTTGACCTCTTGGTCAGTTCCCTCACATTCCTGGAAGTCGCTGGCCTGTAGCTCTCAATATTTCCATTACAATTTGAGCCCACATCTTGAGAAACTTCTTGTAAGGATCACACATCCATTCCTTCTCAAGGTCTGGACTTCTTAATTGCAGTGACCGCAGCATTCTCTTCTTTTCAGCCACCAGGACCTTGTTTTCCCCTAAAGCTCCTCTATGTGAGAACATAACTGCTGTTATGTTCTTTCTTTGACCCAAATCTCCACTCCTTTCCTCTTCTTTTCTTCCCATTCAGTTTCTATCTCCATGATCTGTCATTGAACCTTTCACTAGCTCCTGTCTCACATTCCTTGTCCCTTCCAACTGGGATAAGTTTCCCATCCCTTTTCAGTGTTCCCAATCTTGGCCTACTGGAGGAAGTCTTTCAAGCCATTCTGATTAGGGTCATGAAAATTTCATGATACCTATTATAATTGTGCTCTCAACACCATTGCTTAATTTATTTTCTGTCTATGGTCAGCTTCTCCACACATTGACCTCAAAAGTCCTATGCTAAATCTTTACCACCCTCCTCAAACTTCCTGTCCTTTCTATTCAAACCTTCTGTCCACTTCACCCTCAATAGATCCCTCATCTCCCCACAAACAACTGAGAAAATTGAGGTTTTGGGGATGAGAATTTTCTTAACACTTCACTCTACCTCTGCAAGCTTCTTTACCGACATCCATTCCTATGTTCCTCCTTCTCATTCTAGAAGAAGTGGTATTCATTCTGTTCTGGCCAATAACACCCCTGTGTGATTAGCTCCCACCCCTCCTACCTTCTCTGGAGCCTCATTCTATCAATTAATCACTTATGTGCCTGGATATATTATTTTCTTTTTTTAGACAGGGTCTCACTCTGTCACCCAGGCTGGAGTGCAGTGGTACAATCACAACTCATTGCAGCCTCAACCTCCTGGGCTCACGTGGTCCTCCCACCTCAGCCTCCTAAGTAGCTGGGACTATAGTCACATACTACCATATCTGGCTCATTTTTTTGTATTTTGTAGAGACAGGGTTTTGCCATGTTGCTCAGGCTGGTTTTGAACTCTTGGGCTCAAGTGATCCTCCTACCTCAGCCTCCCAAAGTGTTGGGATTTACAGGCATGAGCCACTGCACCTGGGCATTACCTGAATTTTCCACCCTTTCTTCACTGCTGGCTCTTCAGCCAATACAGATGCTCAAATTTTTCCCATTCTAAGAAAAACTTTTTCGCAATCCCATGCAACTGTCTTCCCTCTTCCCTTCACAGCTAAGTATCCTAAAAGAATAGTCTAAACAATATTTTTAAAAATTTAGTTCTTTGGGCAAGACAATTTTTGTCTTATCCATGTAAACCATCTGTGTTATTGTAATACATGTCCTTAAATCTATGGAGGTTTTTTTTTTTTAACTAAAACTTACAGTCTTTTACGAGAAGCCTCATAATAATATCCATGAGATTGTAGCTTTGATTTATTGGTTGTCTATTTTAACACAGTTTAAATACAAAACTATTAAAAATGAAATATTTATCTGTCTGTCACCTGAAATCACCTCATAAACGGTGCATAATTTTGGGAGACACTTGGATCTGCCCTTGAGTTTTCTTATCAAAGACCTTTATTCTTCATAACACTTCACTCTGCTATCTAATCCTCTACCAAGCTTTTCACAGAAATGGTATTTCTAAAGATCGCCAGCAG